CTAAAAGTTTGAAGCAGTTGTGTTGTTAGGCTTTTTGTGATTTGCATAAATGTTTTTTAATACTCTTGTCAAAAATCAAATGAGCTGGCATGGCAAAATAAATTAGCTCATGCGGCATTAGATTTGTTGTCTCTAAGCTCATTTTGTTCATTTATAATAATAATGTATTAATATTGTGATTTATTTTATGCTTTTGCTTAGAGTCGTCACACTTAGCCAACAGAGCATACACCGGGGTAAAGGCGGGAATAAAGTTGAAGGTCAGACCATCCAATTTCATTTTCCTCTGGTCTTCACAGTCGACACAGGACCTGGCTCACCTAGACCCGATAGGCTATGTCCTTTGAAGGAAGCAGACCCTGAATTTAGACACACAGTTGAAATGCTGTGGTGTCGGTTTAGTTGTAAGCCTCAAAACATTCATTTTTATATTTTTGAGCCTTTTTATTTAATTTAATTTATCTTTATTTAACCAGGCTGAGACCACTGGTCTCTTCTGCAAGGGAGGCCTGGGCCAGAAGGCAGCCTAAACCAGGAGAGCATGAACTCCACACAGAAAGACGCCTGGTCCAAACTCAGGACCAGATGTTACCACTAAACCAGCATGCTGCCCAAAACAATCTTGTTCTCAGAGGTGGGATTCACTTAAAAGTTGACTTTTCCAGAAGTTTTTGGGTTGTCTCAGGCAGAGACAGCAGGAGTGGCAGTAATGAGGAAAGTGTGGCCATCTTCACTCTAACAAATCCAGTTTAAAGAGGTTCAAATGAAGCCAAACTCTAGAACAGAGCTGTACTACGGTGTACATTTTAGGACATCCTCAGTTTTACTTGTCAGTCATCAGTTGTCAACAAAAAGGTTCTCAGTTTTACTTGTCAGTCATCAGTTGTCAACAAAAAGGTTCTCAGTTTTACTTGTCAGTCATCAGTTGTCAACAAAAAAGTTCTCAGTTTTACTTGTCAGTCATCAGTTCTCAACAAAAACTCTGTTAGTCTCACTGGTCAGTTTCAGTTTCATTTGTAAGTTTTCCTTTTTACTTGTCACTTTTGAGGTGAAGTGCTTTTGAACGAATGCTTCTATCTCTGTTATCAGTTTATTTATTTATTATTTACATTTTTTT